AATGTTGTTCTAATTTTAAAATTCTTGTCATTTCTAACACTTAGAGAAACTATATTACTCAAGTATAAAGAAAGAATATAAGAGAGGGTTAAAAGACAAAGACAAAATATAATCTTGAATTAAATTAATAAGGACTAGAAATATTATATTTAGAGATATTAGTGCTAAGAAAAATAAAGGCTAAACTTATAATAGTGTCATTTAAGAATATAAGAAGATTAGAACATATATAGATAGTTATAAAGACGAAACTACTATAAAAATTTGGTTCAACCTTAGAGGTGCATAGTTAAAGTTGTTTAAAGATTACATTTATAAAAACCAAAATTATTTAAGACAATTAAAAGTTTGATTTTGAAATAAAATCAAAAAAATTGTTTAGAAAGGTATACATAATATTATAATTAATATGTAGAAATCCAAATTGAAAAAAAAGATGTTCAAATTTAGAATTTTATAGCTGAATTTGTACAAAGATCAATATGTATAACAACCCTAAAGTGTAAAATTTAGATACTTCACAAATATGTCATGATTTTTAAAATAATGGAACCAAAATAAATGTTTTGAAAAAAAATAACATGAAAAATCTTTGTTCAAAACAGTTGTATTGATTTCTTTTTTATAAAACCATTAATTTTGTTACAAAAACTAAAATTATTTAAAAGGTATATTAAAATTTAATTTTTATATTAAATTATATATAAATAAATAAAATTCATTAAAAGATTATAGATTTTAAAATCTCTATTTATAAAAAATCTTGATCCTATATATAAAATAATTAAGTTCTTATATTTTTTTATTATTATTTAGATAAAATTTAAATATACAATTGTAGAATATTAAAATAAGTAATTATGTCTAAAAATTATTAATCTATAAATATAAAACTTTTTATTTAAAATAATATTTTAAAAAAACTTCGTTTCTTCAAATTTTTATTATTTCTATAGATACTTTCTTCACAATAATGTAAAAAAAATTACAAAATTGTAAAATAAAATTTTAATTTGATATTTATAAGATTTTTTAAAAAAAATTATGAATTTTATGAATACTAAAATGATTAATATATCTAATTTATTAAGAAAATCAAAGAAAAAAATTAAAAGTAAAATTTGATATTTTAAATTAGAAAACATATTATTATTTTTAATATATTTTAATTAAAAATATATTTACTATTACTTAATTATATCTTAATTAAGATAATTTATAAAATAAGATATTAGTTGACCTTAACTTTACTAAAGTAATACACTATTAAAATAATTTTATGTTATCTAGGAATATTGTTTGTAAAACTTTCCAGCACCCTTCTTAGATATTTTCAGACTAGAACATATTAATATGATTTCTATGTAAAACAAATATAGCTAGTTCAGAACCTAAATTTTATCTAAACAATATATATTTCAAAAGATTTCGAATTTCGAATAAGATGAATTAATTATATATACAAAATTTGAATTTATACAATAAAAGTTTAAAGGTGTTACATACTTATGAGTTTAATATTTAACTATTCTGGATCAAAGAAAATATTTCAAAGAGTGAGACATGGATTTTAATATTTTGGAATATAAATTAATTGACTGATTACATCATTCCTGAGTTTGACCACAATAGAAGCTAGCAATGATACCAAAAAGTAAGTTTGTATTTGGAATCCACATAATTCAAAATGTCACTGTTAAGGTTTTTCTTTTTCTTATTATTAGCACAAAAATAAGAAAGTTTTAAAAAACTAATTCATTATTGTGTGTGCGTTTTTTTTTTTTTTTTTTTTTTTTTTCTAATCTTTATAGTTATTTATATCACTTGTTTTAAAACTGCCACATATCTTGGTATACATTGTTTGTATATGTATAGAGATATCTGAACTTTGATCTTGCTTTGTGCAAGCTTTCCATGCACTAAAAACATTAAATAGTTATTCAAGAGCAATGAAACCTGGGTCCATGCATTACAAATTGTGTTGTTTATTATTATTATTATTATTATATTTTGATGGAATCTATTCACTGCATTCATTTTTATCTTTTTGAATGAGAGCTTATTTCTATATGATTATGTCACTTAAATTTTAGCGGCTAGCCTTTGTAAACTACTACACATAGGCTACCTGGTTTCTATACATTGATGTTTTCAAGGAATGAAATTTTTCTTGTTTGATGATTTTGTGACTGTGAGGCAGTTTTTGGATGTTCACAGTAACCAAAACTTTTAAATTGGGAATAATTCAACAAAAAGAAAAAGAGAAAGGAAATTCATATCACATTTCTTGTAACATAATGAATACTAGAGAATATGATATGAATCCTAACCACCTTTGATGGAAAAATTTAGATATTTTTTTCTTCAAGATACATTGGGTTTTCAAGGGGAAACTTTGTAATCTCGTTTATTTTATTTTTTTACGAATAAAAGAAATAAAAACTATTAATAAAAGCTTGTATTTTTATTAAATGAAAGAAAAAAGATCCAAACATCTTAATCCACAACGTCTCACAAACATCTTAGTCTTTCTCTAATATTCACAACACAAGAAATATAGATATACATATATATATATACACACACATACATACATATACACTAACAACCTTAGGCTGGTGTGCGAAGCAATCCTTTATCCACAAGAGATTATATATATATATATATATATATCTGTGTGTGTGTAACGATCATCTCCCTTCCTTGAAAAATTTGTACAACACCGTATACTTGAGTTGCCAGATTCACACATCTTCCTTACATGGAAAGCCTGTCGTCGCAAGACTCACTCGTTGCTCACGCATCGAGCCCACTCGTGGTTTGGCGATACGATCGAGCCATACGACCAGCGTCATCTGCAGAGACCGAGATATCCCACTAGACTGACACCCCAAATGGTGTGAAACAAAGAATGCGTGGGACATGAACTGGTGTGTGGAGATCGGTGTTTCTGGTTAAAGGATCCACCTGAGCTGCAGGACTCCTTCCTTGGTTCCTGGTGCGTCGCCACGATCAATGGCTCGATCCTCTTCAAACGTCAGAATTCCACCACCCCTAAAAGCCAGCAGTGCGTTGTCTACGACACCAACATCATCCTGAGAACATGGGACGAATCCCAGGGTCTTGATCAGAATTATCGATGCCATCCTCAAACACTAGGTTTGAGATTCTCCCCACCATGGCTTTCCTATGGATATGCAGTCAAAACAGTGGGAAGAAAATGCGAGGATGCGGAAGCTGGTGGCACGACGTTGATGGAGGTCATTGCGCCTCGCTTTCACTGGAATCTGTCGTTCATTCTAGCCATCCTGGGTTATGTGAGTGGGGTCTGGGTATTTTAGCGCACTCCTCCGTCTTGCGGGCTGCAGCTAAGCATGTGAGCTTAGAGTCTAGTCTCCCAGCTGGTTGCTCCTGCACCTCATCAGGTGGTTCGAGGAGAAGCAAACCTTGGAGCTGCTGGTGTGACACCCCTGTATTGACGCTGAGCTGGTCTACCGCAGCTCTGAAAACAGCTTGGTAACGATCTGGAGCTCCTAAAATGGGACACAGGAGACATTTGACTACTTATAAGGAGCTTCGCTTGAAGGGTGTCAAGTAGCACTGCTATCTATCTACTCGTGGGTTACATCCATCCGAGATCGCTTGCGAAGGTATAGTTTAAGGGCAATGAATAAGTACCATTGATTGTTGGACTACTAGCATCTGAATTTTTGGCTGTTGTCAATGAGTTTTTGATGTTGAGTACGCTGAGTAGCGTGCTCAAAGGGTGAGATTGAGCTACTGGAGATCGCTTGCACTAACTCATGATTGTTGACAATAGGATTGCTGATGGTGCAGAATGTTTTCCACTTTGTTGCTGAGTTTGTGTTTAACTAGTCTGTTGTGCAACTGGCGCTTGAGTACTCCTCAAATCATGCTACGTCCCTGCTCCAGATCCAAGTTGCTTCATACTGATCACCGCCATTCCGATGGCGTTACTGATATTTCCCTTCTCATCGCTGCCATAGATTTAAAGGATTAGTTTTATTATAAAATTTTCAACTTTGAACTTTTCTCTAAGTATTTAACCCCGTAATGGATTGGTTTTGTCGGGAAAAGGATATACTAGGAAAGCAGCTGCGACCATAAAATGCCTCAGTATTCTGCTAGTTTGCTTAACCACAGTGGTGACAGTTACCAGTGCAGCGGGGTCGCAGTAGAAAAATCCCTCGGCTACTTTCATATTCGGAGATTCCCATGTAGATTTGGGTAACAATTACATCTTTTCTTTGGCTGCCTCAAATCGTCAGCCATACGGAATTGATGGGAGTGATCGTCAAGCGACTGGCAGATTCTGCAATGGCAAAATTATACCAGATTTCGGTTGTAAATTGCTTCACTGCATGCTCCAACATGCATGACATCGTGTTTCTAGAAGTTGATCCATTGATCTGTACGTTGCGCAACTATGTGAAATCATCTGATGTGCTGTGAAGGTGAATACCTAGGGACGCCTTCCCCCCTTCCAGTGCTCTCACCCGAAGCACGAGAACTTTCTCCATGGTGTCAACTACGCTTCGGCCGGCGCGGGCATCCTTGAAGATACTTGCTCAATCTTTGTGCATATCCTTGCTCTTCACAATGCAGTTGCCCAATCTGTTGAGAAGATTACAACATTTCATTTAATTATTTAATTATTTATGTGTTTTGCCTGTTGAGAATTCTTGCGCCTTGGAACACTGTGCAGATTGGGCGAGTCACAATGAAACAGCAATTTTCCTATTTCGAGCAGACCAAGAAGCAGATTGCACAGATCATTGGGCAACCGGCGACTGACGATCTGATCCACAACGCCATCTACTCATTCACAATCGGGGGGAACGATTTCATCAACTACCTAGCAGGCGCAACAAATGCCAAGAATATGTACACGCCGCAGTAGTACCAAGATCTTCTCATCAACACCTTCAAGAGCCAGCTCAAAGTAAGCCCAACTCGATTCAATTCCACACAAGCTTCTGGAACGTGAATTGGGGAATTTCTTGACTTAATAATTTGCAGTACACAATTTTTAATTGGATTAAGGTCGCAATTGCAGACTGGCTACGATTTGGGGATGCGGAAGTCCATCATCTCCAACATCGGTCCCATTGGGTGTGCACCTTCAGTCCTGTCGCAGAGGAGCCAGAAGGGGGAATGCGTCGAAGAGGTGAACAATTACGCCATAGGATTCAATGCCGCCTTGAAGCCCATGCTGGAGAGCCTGGGAGCCGAACTTTCCAACTCCATCTTCCTCTACACTAATGCCTACGCCGTCGTCAAGGCCATCATCGATAACCCCTTGCAACACGGTAAATCCAAAAAAAAAAAAAAAAAAAAAAAAAAAACTGGTTTCCCCCCTGAAATGCAATTCTCAGACTCTCCTCCACGAACTTCCACACAGCCAACCATCATCCATCATCGTTTCGCTTTCTGTGTGCAGGATTCACAGATCCAGTGTCCACGGCCTGCTTCGGCGTGGGCAAATACAACGGCATCGACAGGGCGTGCCGCACCATCTCACGCCCGAGCCCCGACAGAACTAAGTTGGTGTTCTGGGACGCTTTCCACCCGAAGAAGGTGAAGAAGATTTGCAACGATCAGTTCCTCTTCGGTGGCCTGCACGCCATCAGCCCCATGAATGTGAAGCAGCTGCTGGCCATGTAACACGAAGCCCACAAACACGACCCACTTTAGGAAAAGAGGCTAGGATCGATCAGCGCATGGTGTATTACCGATTGAGCAATTCTAGATTGTGGTGCCCTCATCGCTAGCTGGTGGCGCCGTCATCTTGCATCCACGCTGGGCGCGGCGTTAGCTTTCCTCACCACCACGAATAATCTACCACAGTGGCCTTTTGGGAATGAGATTCCTTCCATACAGGTTCACATGTTGCCTCCCAGGCAAGCTCATTTGCAATAAAACAATACAAAAAACAGCCTTCGTAGTGTGAAATTCCATCTCTCGTTATGTTACAGAATAGTCAAGGTGGAGAGGATAATTTAGTTCAAGGTTTGAATGGAATTCAGTCTGGGAGTACTGTTTCGATATGAGTGAGACCCATGATTGATGCGTACTTACAGCAGAGTGATAACTTACCCAGTATACCACAATTCAGAATTTAATAATACAAGACAGAAGGATTTATTGGCACACAATTTTAGTTGATAGATCGGCACAGCACGAGTCCGGTGAGCCTGTCACGGGCTTTGATGTCTGTTCGTTAGCTGCAGATAACCCCACTACAGCCAAGTTTGCAGGTGACGCTTCTCCATCACAATTAGATGAGTTGCCGTTACTATTCCCACAGTATCCAACTGCCAGCTTCACAGCTTCATTTGTAGAACCACCTGAATTCGAATCCTTGCTTACTTCTGTAATAAGTGACATCACATTCCTGTTTGAAGAAACCTTGCAGCTATCACTTGAGCAACATATAGAGTATGTCGTAATAGAACTGGGGCTACTGCGTTGATTTGAATCCTCCCTGACTTCTAATGTAGATGGAGTCTTTGTGGATGAAGAATGTTTACAGCTCCTAATTGAGCAATATTCTGAAACTTGCTCCTTGTTGACGACGCCGGAATGGCCCATATTATCCCTTCGCTGAGATTTAGTTAAGAGCCTCCCCTCACAATTTTCTTCACAGAAATCTGCCTCAAGAAGAGCACCTTGAAATAGTGTGCTTCGGCTGTTGCAAGTGTCACTAGAACAGCACCCAGCATCTTTCTCTGAAGTTCGTGGCATCCGAATAAATTCAATGTTCTGGACTTCTATCTCTTCTGGCAAACACTTTTTGATAGGATCGCAATCTTTATGCATAACCTGAACCGTCGGATCTAACGGGACATTACTACAACTATGGCTCTCGCAGAAACCCGCACTTATTCTTTCACCCTTTGTCCTGTCAAACCCTCCAACATTGTTTCCATGCTTGTGCCCTTTCCCTCTAGAAGTAAGAACAATCTTCTCACATCTGGCACTAGAGCAACATGGAGGTCGGTATTCCTTATCTGCACAACAAAAATCGTCTTCCTCACATTTCTCCTTCTTTTCATGGTGTTGATGATGGAGGTGGTGGTGGTGGTGATTTTGTTGTTGATTGTGTTTGTGCAACCAGGAGAACCTTACTTTGGGCTTGTGTGAAATAACAGGGGCCTTTATGTTTGTACTTGTAAAGGCCTTTTCTTCCATATTTCCTTCCCCTTTTACACAGCAACCACTGTGATAGCTTTTGGTTTCCTTGTCAAACGCTAAATTTTCTGAAATACAATTATCTGCAGTAATCAAAAAATGAATTTTGTAAATTTCCAGGACTTGATACTACATACTTTTGCCTGTCACAATGTAACTCCACAAGTCTATCCATCATCGACTATAGAGCCATAGCCTCAATCTACGACAACCAGGCCGTGTTTAAAGAACACAAATTGGGCACAATAACTATCTAATATAACCTCGTGCAATTTACAGATGCATTCTGGCAGTGATTCCGCACTAGATTGCAGTCAGCATCAATGAATTTTTTTTATGGAGTACATGACATAATCACCGTGTCAATTTCAACTTTGAGAGAAATCGTGACAGATGCTGCTGTGAAGGAATTGGACAGATTACCTTGAGCCTGGTGCTCGACTTTCTTCAAGATACGTCTGCTGTTGAAGATGACTGCCAGACAAGTTCCTACATCTGCCACTACCCCACCCCACAAAGAAGCATATCCTCCCGCCACCAGACCGATAATAAGCAATTTAGTCGCGAAACTGAAGGTGATGTTTTGCGCAATCTTCCATCGACAGTCCAGTCCCAGCCGCACTGCAGCTGCCAGCTTTCGAAGATCATTTGTCATCAAAGCTACGTCAGCAGTTTCCATCGCAACAGCCGAGCCAGCTACACCCATTGCAATTCCCACATCAGCGGTTGCCAATGCAGGTGCATCATTGATGCCATCCCCCACCATTGCTATAGTACCATGATGTTTTAATTCTTTAATTATCCGAACCTTGTCCTCAGGTATCAATTCTGCGTATACGTCCATTTCACCAATCTGAATCGACAAGAGTGAACGAAGTCATTCGTAAGATTTTAGCGAAAAAAAACAGTCAGAAGAGGAAATTGCGGACGAAGCGAAAGATCACGACATTCAACACATGACTTCTCCAGCTTATAACAAAAGATCCAGAATAATTAGCACTTTACCAACAGCTTTACTTACCTTATTTTGTACTTTAACAGCAGCTGCATTGCTGTCACCAGTAAGCATTGCAACCCGAATACCAAGTTTCTGTAATCAAATACAATATCACAAAAAGTCACATCTTCGTTCGTCATTTAGGAAAGCATTGTATGAAATAAAAGCCACTTATGAACGAGACTCTTTGCGGGTTCAGTTCCCGAGTGCTCTTAAACTTCAAAAAATCTTTGATAATGATAAAATCGTTTTCTAGACTTCCATGAAGGTGAATTTCCGAACTTGTAATCGTATGTCGTTCAAATATATAATTTGATGTAAGTGTAAATAAGGATGTTTCATGGAAAAAAGGTAAAGACGCCATTCATGCAAGTACAAGATCACAGGTCTTACTTGACTGCTACTGAATTGAGATGGACCACCCTTGTTTTAGTCTGGTTGAAAAGAATGATGAAGAATAAAAAACAAATGGACCAGAGATCTCATGAACTGTGAAAAAGAGGACTTCAATTAATAGCTTCTTTTTTAGTCGCTTTTATCAGTTGAAAAAATGTCTTAACAAGAGTAAATCGACTACAGTTTTGAGCACCTTCAGTTCTCTGACCGCTTCGGCAGCTTCTGATCGTAGTTTGTCTCCGACACTGAAAATTCCGATTGCAATTCCGTCGAGACCTACCCAACCAACTGTTGCTCCAGAACTGCTCCAATTCGCTAGTGTTTCGACAGCAGCAGCTGCAGAATATTGACAACCTACCTCAGTATTGGTTAAATGAGAGTACAAATAACAAACGGATACTAAAACTGAAAGGAATGTACTCTAGTCTAAGGCGACACAAAATTGAAGCACAGACGCACAACAAAAACTGATGAAAATTACTAAAATTTGCAAAATAAAATAGATATTAAATGCAAACCCAAATAGAGAGGTTCCAGTGTACAAAGCAAAGAAATGTAATTCTCAATCTTATACTTGATTCAAAATAAACCGAAGGAGACGCTTACAACCGATTCAACTAGTTTAGTAAAGTTAACCGTCTTAAATAATCATAAGGTACAATGCATTGCACATTTTAAATGGAATTAGATTGTCATGACTCCCTGTGATTTCTCCTTGGACTACACACCTGTATCCCACCCAAATCGAGCTGCCATTCGCGCATTTCCTATGTGAATGGTATGCCCATCAACTTCTGCGGAAACTCCCTCTCCCGCAATCACCTCAAAGTTAGCGACATTTTCTGACGGTTCTACCCCCTTGAGGCGTGCGTAGGTAACAATTGCTGCTGCCAATGGATGACTTGCTTTATTTTCTACACTCGTTGTCCTGGGGAGTCAAAGTTAGAAGAAAACCATTTTCATATGGTGTTTGAGACCCTTGCAAATCAACCTTCGTAAAATTTATTTCCATTTCTAAAACCTCAACACACTAAAAGCAAGCAACAGGAAGCAGCCATATCTTAAATCAGCAGCTTGTGATGGACTTCATTCTCCACGTTAATCTTTGACTTTGGTTCAAAAGTCGAGGCTTAAGAAATAAATCGGCATTTCTTACCAGTACAAAACCTCTTTCAGAGTGGAGATACCATCAATAGGGAGCATACTGTATACACAAAACTGGCCTTCAGATAAAGTTCCAGTTTTATCGAAGGCCATAACTTTCAACCTGCCAAGTACCTCCAAATATGTACCACCTTTCACCAACAACCCTAAACGCGCAGCCTGGGCAATTCCACATGTGATAACCACAGGGGTTGATATGACCAAGGCACAAGGGCATGCCACCACAAGAAGAACCAGTGCGAGATACACATAATGAGTAGGATTGTGAACTCCACTCGCCCAGGGAGCGATTCCGATTACAAGAGCCGCTATGACAACACCTGCAAAGACGAAAAAATTAATCTTTGGTAACTCATGCATGAGTCAAAACGCCATACATGAATGAAGAATTCGACAACATAATGATAAGGTAGCTTAACCGCATAACAGCCCAAGCGTGAGGCTGTATTATTACTCAGCACCATTTTGCACCAGCGCATACAAGTTATGCACGTTATACATCTCTCAGGGTGGAACCACTTGGAGGAAAAAATACCGGGGGTATAGTACTTCGCTATTTTCTCCACCAGCAATTCAGTATTGGAGCGCTGATGTTGTGCCTCTTCCACAAGCTTCACCATTCTTGCCACGGCAGAGTCAGCTGACAGAGCTGTGGTTTTGATTGTCAGATATCCTGCAACAGTCAACCAGATGTCGATCTTCTTGACATCAGGAGCTGACACTAATAATATATTATAATCAATGAACTAAGATATTGCATAATTCATGCCAGAATAACAAGCTCAACATCAGTTTACAGAGAAACTCAAACCCTCAACCATTTTCAACAAAAAAGATCAGGTGTGAGAAAGCAACAGAGAATTAGTCACTAGGTCTCATTCAGTTTGTTGCCAAAAGTCACGAACGAACTTCAAGTATTTACTTCCCCAATTATCAACCCTTATTCGTGAGTTGGTGTTGTGTATATGTATCTCCCTTCTAGCACAGACCTGACAAGATCGTTGTTCCAGCCCATACAAAGGCTTCCGTCTCTTTCTCCACCGGTACTGATTCACCAGTCAAGCTACTTTCATCCACTAAGCCTCGACCTGATAGGACTTCTCCATCAATTGGGATCGCCTCTCCGGTCTTTACAGAAAGTAAGGTTCCAACTGCCACCTCCTCCACACGCACTCGCATCCCTCCATCTACCAGCATGGCATTCTGTGGTGCACGATCAACTACAGAAGCTATTGCCGAACGAGCCTGGATGATGCGGTTTTCAAATATAATCGCTTGTTATAGTCCCTCAAGACGATAAGGACTTTCATTAAATCCAATGGGTTATCACAGAAGCTCAGAAAAAAATTACAGTCCTAAGATTGTACCGTTTGATCACCAATATCACTTACTAGGGGCTGTTTCTATCATAAGCCAAGGTGTGTATGGCTCTATGTTTAGTGTTACATGTATCATCAATCGACGCCATTAGCAAACATCAAATCCAATGTCAGTTTCTAAAATGTACTAGAGCTTGTGTTGTTCAGAACTTGAGCTTGTTACAATTTATGAAGCATCAACATATTACCGATTTATGTCAACATCTTATCAATGCGCTTTGGGTTATATTCTGAGGGAAAAGAACCTTAGATGTAGATCTTGTTTCTAACCACTCTGCGAGCGTGAACAGAAAGACGATGGTGCCAGCCTCCAAATAATCTTGTAATGCAATAGCCCCACTTACTGCACATCATCATTCAAAACTTGGTTGACCGAGATATTGGCCTCAGACGTGCAGCTCATCTACAGAGAAATGCAGAAATTTTGCGCACCAAAAAAAAGAAAGATTGTTGAAATTGATAAGGGCCGTCAACTTATTGTACAGAGAACCTTTCTAATGATATAAGATGCTGACTCTTTTCCGGTTGCTGAGAGCGCGAAACAATACACTGGATCCGGAGAATATCCAACTGAATGAGACGTTATTTCAAGGCCTATGCGAGGAGTATTACCTGCAATAAGCATGAGAATGTTGATGTCGAGAAAAAACTTCCTTAGTGCGGCAATTGCCTTCACAACTATCGGTGGCACTCCCACAGCAACAGCCCCAAGAGCAACCCAATGCATCGGTTCGTATAAGTACTTGAAGAATGCAATCGCTAATAAGATACCAGAACCTAGGCACCATGGACTTGGCCAGTTGCGACCACCTTTCAATTCACCACGCTGATGTATACTGGCATCCAAATGTGCTCCGTTCAGAACCTTCACTGAAATAATCGGAAAACCAACATTCACAAATTAAAACCACAACGACAATCAGCAGCTGCAGATTGGTCGAGTCACACCGTTCGAAAGTTAACAAAAGTAAATGGGAAGCAAAGAGTTGCAGGGAAGCATAGGGTTAGATTTTGCACCAAGCTGAACGTCCGAGATTAACAATGGATCATGCAGAACAAGCACAGTCTTGGCTGTGACGTTTACAGAAACGTCCTCAACACCAGTTAGTGGGGCTAACAATTTCTTGATCAATGGAACTTCACTTGGACAGCAGATTCCCATGACATCGAGCTTCGTTTTACATAACGCACCACCAAAATTAACAGGAATGTCCACCTTCGTCATGCCTTCTTGAACTAGGTTTCGCCCTACACTAGCGAAAGGCATGAGTGTACATTTTTCGTCCAACTGTCCTTTCGCAATTGCAAAACCATCCCTCTCATGGGCTTGTACATCTTCAGCACATTGTGGAAGGCTCTCGTAACCTGTCTGCTTGGGACTTTCGTAGCTGAAGAGGTCCACAAGAGTCGGCCGCAGTTTCAACTTCGCTACAGTTTTACCTCTGTTGATTAATCGACCGTGTTCAATAAAACCGCGCTCATGTCCATTTTGAACTTGAGGGTGACTCAGAGAAAAAGAACCGTCGTTAAGAGGTACAAGCCAATCAAAATGGTCTCCGTGACGTATCTGAGAGTGTCCACAGCCCTCTTTATGCTCATGGTCTATGTCGACCACTGGTAGTACTGTCTGACATAGGTCTGACAGCTCGCGAAGTACAGGTAATGCACAACCCGACTTTTCCATGCAATGCTCGTCGATACACTGCAAATGTAACTTTCCACAAGTTAGCTCTCTAGAGCGTTCAGTCTTTGTTAGATAGTGACCATAAAGAAAATCTTAAATTCTTTTCTCGAGAAGTTTGTGACTCCTGTTCGGACATCTCAGATAATCTACTCTCGTAACATCTGAGACATGCTAGCAGAACAATCATGGAACTCCTCATCATTCAATTGAACACAGCACAGGGCCATTCACCAGAAACGAAGTTTGTGACTCCGTCGAAGTAAAATATCCGCAGGTGACGCGGGAAGCATAGCTAACACCCATATAAGACGAACCATGATGCCCTTGGAACTGTGACACTGTCATGAAAAGCCGAAGAGACCAACATTTTGCTATGGGCTAATCGTGAATGGCTATAACAGAGATGAAAAATTCTGAGGATTTGTAAGTGCTCATTAAGAACAGTGGAGCTATACAGTAGAATAGCAGCAATCTTTCGCGCAACCCCTATCAATAGGAATCAAAACTAATAAACGAGAAGAATCGATAGCTAGTGTACAAATCGGTCGAACCAAATGCCCAAATTAGAGGTTCAAATTTCAATCGTGCGGGTTGAAACCGTAATCAAATATTTTATTTTTTCTGTATTCAGAATTTTGTGGCAATAGCCGAGGCAAACCGTTAAGCTGTTGGTTAAGTATCGAAAGCATGGAATCTTGGCTGGTTCTACCAACATTTCTTCCCATTCCCTTAACATTGATGCAACCAAGGGCCTGATAAAAATAAAAAATAAAAAAAAATAAAAAAAAATACGATATCGGTTGACAGAATGAACCTGTTCCAATGGAATGTCCTGAATGTCCTCGCCACGGTGCACGTGTGGGTGGAAATACCCTGCTTCCTGAAGATAGCACACGCCAGCTGAGGCATCCTGTGTCCTGTGATCTTTAAAGCATAGTTCCGTACTTTTGATGGAGTCTGCGTATTCTTGTGGCAAAGAAACATGTTGAGGTCGTCCATTTTCGTCAAGCACCACAAAATGCTGACCCTCGTTGTAATCCTGCGACCCTCCCACAGAATCATTTACTAAGTTCAATGACGCCGATTCAATTCAATCCAGAGACGTACCACTAGTAACACAATCTAGCACGAAAGAAGCCATTCACAGGTTACGGGATCGAATTCCAACCAGCTGTCTACGTCAAAAACGAGACACAAATTCGAGAGCGTTCTAAAGACAGCAAAGAAAATACACCAGCTACAAAATTCTAAAGTCTAGCGACGCAATTTTCCTCATGGGGTCCGTAATCCATCGAATGTGGTGTCTCCATCTTAAAACTCGTAAACACGAGTTCAGTGCAAGAAATGAAGCAAAGAAAATTCAAATTCAAAAAAACAGACACGCACCACGCACGAAGGCAGCGGGAACTTCCCACCATCAACCAAGGCAACCGACTCCATCACCGTCACTCCGAAAACGACTCTGACAGAGCACCTCCTCGCAATACTTGAATGAAGCTTACGTTCCCCTCACCGTAGAGCCCCTGGACCTCAACGCACAATGAAAGGTCTCATGGATCCAAACTGTCTGCAACTATATATCAATGCCAACCCCTCGTCGTCTCCAGAACCAACTGAAATCATTACCCTTGCCATAATCGCAGCGCTTTCGTATTCACCAGAGTCTTCGCCGCTTTCTGAGTAAGATTCTCTATAGCAACCAAAACTTGGTCGCGTTCACGGATATCTCGACGAGACCGAATTGTACAGCTACTCTCTCAGATCAGGCGCCCATACTTTTCTCGCCGCAGTCAAAAGGCTTTTGCTCTCTCTATTATTTCAAAACACGTTGTCAAGAGTTCATACACAGCATGTGATTAATGACCAGCACACAACCCTAACCCTCAGCCATGCTGATCACGCGACACGCTGCAGCGGCATGGGCAGTGACAGCTGACACTCCCATGTCCAGTGCAAAAGGCGTGAGGAGCAACCTCGACAGCCCCGAGCAACACTCCAAGATTATCGTCCACGGAATCCCGCCCCACACGTATTGTGGGTCAACACCCCCCTTCGCCTCCCCCCCCCTTTGCCAACGTTCTAGCTTAACGAATAAAACGAAAACTGTGCAACTAAATGTCCCTTTCTCCACGCAGTGCCTTGAGCTTTTTTCGAGACGTGATTCCGCATCTTCTTTAAATAGAAGATTCCACGTCTGTGATACGTCTATGAATGGGACAGAGACATGGTTTTAGTGCATTCGTCCAACCTGGCGACTAAAAGGGAGGAGTCGACTTCTTCTGAGAGGAGGGAGAAGATGAAATTTCCTCCCATTCATTCTGAAGGGATTAATTATTGGAGGCCTGCAAGAAAGAGGTTGTTCTTAGGGAGTGGGACTGGGTGAAAAAGTTTTTATTGGAATCTATCCATCCATTGGAATCATACCCACACATGAGAGCTTTGCAGAAATTGCGTTAAAACTAGGGGAATGTTCAACCGACTCCAGCTTTTACTAAATCAACCCACCTATCAAAACCATTATTACATCCATCCCTTGTCTTTACCCCTCGTCACCAGTTTTTATTCCCAACACCCACCTCTTGTCTTGACCCCTTGTCACTTGTTTCCATTTTATATAAAATAATATACAACTTTCAAAGCAATTATTGTTTTTTGCTTAGGAAACCAACCTTAATCCCCAAAGCATTTAACCAAGGATTTTACACATGATGTCTATTTCAAAAGATTTGTACATTTAAAATTTCAGATAGAAAATTTTAGATTCCACATGTGTGGATAACACAATCAAGTAATCCACTTGTGTTCAAATTGAAATAAGATGTATTGTCTTTTAATTGCAATTAGAAGATTGCATTGCAACATCAACAACATTTTAGTCATAAAAAGAAATTACAATACAGCATCTAAGTTCAAGGCTATTGTTGCCATTCACAAATATGCAACATGAAACAAGGGGTCATGATGGAGGATGGGCACTAAAAATGGGGATGAGGACTAGGAATAAGGAGAACAGGGACAAGGGATAGGGGAGATAGTTCTGATAGGTGGGTTGATTAAGTAAAATCTGGTGTCAATTCAAACATTCCCCTCAAAATAAATATATAAATAAATAAAAATTTGTCCAAATTCCTTCTGTTTTGATTTTGGTGCACCGACTTGGACCAATTCCAGTGAAGCAAGATTGGATTGTCTAACTAAATTTTGTTGGTGGAAGTTCCTTTGAGGCATTCCTTCATTTGATACTCCCAATCAACTTTTGTAAATGTGAAAAGAAGAGCCCTATTCTATTGCAAATGGATCATTTAAAATATTGTTCTTCAAGAAAAGATATTTAGGTCTTACACTTGATTGTGTACAGAATGCATAGGGACATGGTGATGTTTCTGATGTGTATATAACCCTAACACAAAGCAAGTGCCATGCTTCAATTATTTGTCTCACAAATAAACAAACAAACCATAAAAATGAAGAGTTAAAACCCTAAATGAACCTGAAGTGTGCATGCATAGGGAGACCAGGAGGGTTGGATAGTGTGCCAGCAAGACAGGATTCTGCAGTGAATCTATTTGGCACATACAGAGATGGGACCAGGATGGATACCTGTGAACTTGGAGACTATGTGTGAGTCCCAAGTGTGCATAACTTGGAATTGCTAAAAGCAAAATGTTTTCCTTGCCTTGGGCCCCTCTCCTGCCTTTGCTTCCTCCATGCTTCTGAGCCATGGCACATGCAAAATGCAATGACCTCCATTGTTGGGTCTCCAAGGAGAAAAGGACCCTGCCCATTAGATATACTTCACTTTGCAAGCAATCCAGGTGGCAGAATTCAATCTACAAGTTAATGGTGTGTCTGTAGTTTATTTATTTATTTATTCCATAATTTGTGTGATTAAAAATACAATAAAAATTAATGACATTGGCACTCATTTGAAAAGCCACAAAATTTCTATGAAAAGTTAAGTACGAATTATTAAAATCATTGTCATTATTTTAGAAAAAAATATAATGCACAATTTTATACCAATCAATACAAGATAGACATTATCAAACTGCTTTTTCTACCAATTAATCTTACCTTATTGACTTTGTAAGTTACATTTCAACATTATGAATTTATATTTTAATTTTTGAAATAAAATTCTCATACGTTCATTATACATTGCAAAATTTCGTCAACGGTACTCATCAACTACTCGTAGTTGATAAATGACCAAATACTAGACTGAAATAATGAATGAATAAATATGCGACTATGTGACATATTCATCCAAGTACTTTGATCCATTCATTTATATAGTCGGTAGGGTTTGTAGGGCAAATGGTCATCCTCACCGATTGGACAATGCGGCTTTAGCGAGAGCTGGTTCAGCGCAACACCTTAAATAGCTAATATGCGACTGAAATGTGAGTAACACTTGTTTCTCGATTTAGCCGTCGAGCTCCGTGTCACGCATTTGAAATGAGTTCACTCTCGATTCCACAGAGTATTACTAACTCGAGTCATAGAGAGAGGATCTGCAAGATAATGCGAATGTTTTGGTGAGGTGTTATTAAGATTTCATGATCTGAAGAGTGCGAGGAGCGGAGAATAAAATTACATTGGAATGATTGCAGTTGCCAGCTTAATATAGCGCATCCAAGCACTGATATGGTTTCAGGCTGTCTGGGGAGGATCCCGATGACCTATCAGCAGCTGGCGTGATGCTGGCGACCAGAAGCGATTTTTGATGTGCTGCGCTTTGTTCGATAAATTAAATTAACCGCAAAAAGATTTTTTTTTTTTTTTTTTTTTTTTTTTTTTTTGGCGCTCATGGAGAAAGTCGCAATGTTGATTTCTGTGCTGGATGCCGGGGCATGGCGTGCGAGAGATTGGAGTATGGAAAGGGTCTAGGTAAATGAAATTTACAAGCTGAATATGGCGTTGAGGATTGTATCTGGGGATTGTATTTAGATTCCTTCCTCTTTGTTTTTGGTTCCGAATGCACAATGCTGTTGTTTTAAATTTTCAGAAAATGAGTGTTGTGTTAAGTGACAATGAACGGTGTAGTTGTACTCGACAATGCGATGATATAAAGGCTCTCGAGGGAGCTGATATAGAAGGTCCAGGTTTTTCGAGCAGGCATCGTTTTCGAATTAGGGTATTGAAGGTGTCAGTGCAGAATATCTGCCTACATTGCCTTAGCATGAGCCTGAAAAATGGCAATTGTTCAGTAACTGCATTGCTGATTCTAGTCTCGAATCACGGACATCGATGGATTGATTGGTGTGAATGATAGGATTTCGCATGAGACACTTGCTTCACCGTCAAATTCTTCATTTAGGGGCGGAGGAAGTTGACCCTAAGTTTTTAGGTTGCTCATATTTCATCTTAATCTTTTTCCTGTATTCATACTTTCGTTCTTAACTAGACTGCAGGTTATGAGATACATGATCAAGATCGCTACATGCAGGAATATAATGTATTGGTAGCAATTACATGGAAACCAAACTACACAAAAAAAAATTGGTTCAAAGTTGAACTGTTAATTTTTGGGGCATTTGATCTTTAAGCAGGGGTGGACTTGTGAATCACCAGCCTATGCTTAAGGTTTCAACGCGGATGCACATTTTTTTCTTGTGGAAAATGATAGATCGGTACCGATACATTATATCCCTAGCCTACTTGGGAGTACGAAGATGTCTCCATGTTGTAGAAACTAGGGTATTTTGTTGCATGTTTAAGGCATTTTAGAAGGACAAAAAGCTCTGAACGAGCCTTGACATAGAAGGATGCCACCAGGTATTCACTTCTATGCTGAGACTTTTTCTGTGTCATTCACAAACAAGAGTATCTGTAAACCTTCGTATTTCTTCTTGCATTCAAAACTATCTCGCCTTGGACTGGTTCAATTTGGTGACTGTTTTGGGTCAAAGAGAGACAGATCGCGGTTATCAAGAGTGGAGAGTGCTGTGGAGGGGATGCTGAGTGGTTTCATTATTTGGTTTGCTCATTAATAAGTAGACTCTTCGATTATGATCTAGAAAAATGCAGCACCCGTCGTTTTTCTTGGCCCTACAAATGCCTCTCCAACTTGCAGAGCGCCAACAGGCAACAATCGCACAAGGTGCTCAACTAAGTCGCCGTACCTCCAAATGGCCGGCTGTGGGACTTCGACCACACGCTCCATTTAGGGGTGCTTTGTGTCAATTGTCAAAACCTAGATCATGAACTATTTCTGCGTTTCTTGTAACCAAGTATGAATGGCTATGCATCCGGGCCCCAGAAATTCAGCAAAAGGAGACTGTGAACGCTCCTCTTCAATGCTGTTCGTGACCTCGTATACGATGACATTGGAAAATGAGCTTGGATCCGGCCGACTACTATTTCAGGAAAACCGGGAACAACTGCCCTTGAGCTTCCATTTCGCCTTGATCATGTATGTGTGTGTCATATACGCAGGCTACTACAACATGATGATCATATACAACAGCCCATGTTGTATTTCCAATATTCCCCATCGCCTCTGAAACAGGCTTTGAAGAGTCGCACCGTCCAACTCTTTCACAAGAGTCTTAGAATCAGTTCTGCAAATTTTCTTACAACTTTGTCTACTACACATCAGTGTTTCCACAAGGATCCTATCAACCGATTCGTGCGTCCAGCCTTTGAAAATATGGTCGATTTTTTTAAACAAGCTTGATGAACTTATTCCAAACCTCATTGAGAAGCTCTGGTGATGAGAAATGCTGGGTTGTCGACTTGAAAAATTGTGCCTGAAGATAATGACAACGCATTTCTGGGTTGTTTAAAAGGTACTCATCGCTTGTAATCTGAATTACATTCATGATGTCGTTGAGGTTGTGTTTCAAAACATGTCCTGAAATTACACAAGATGTCTATTTCCGATTTGTAGGCTCTACATGTTCATTTCTTGATGTGGAAGCCTTGCACGTGAGCAATTCGGATTGCTGTTCTAGATAATAACACACGATTCAGGCGCAATCCTGT